GATTTCTTAACCCTGGGACACGACAAGAGAAGTCCGCTATTTCAAGCCGCATTTGATATTTAAAAAAAAACTTCAATGAATTGCATAAATTTTTCGTTGCATAACCACGTTTCAAGCGTACGAAAAACTTCATTTATTTACATGAGTGTTTAACAGAAACGCTAAAACAAATAGCGCTTCTATACTTGGTTTCTACGAAAGTACTGCTATAAATAAGAATGATTAAACATTAAATGTCAACTAAGTAAATAGGCTATTTTTGTTTTTTTTTTCGCTTTCAATTTGTTTTTTGTTTTTCGTAGGCAACGTGATAATGGTGATGTCAAAATGGTGTCGGGCATTCACGCCAATAGCTCGTGGAATAATAATTAAGAAATCGACGATAACAAATTCAATTCATTTCAACTATTTGTGGCGATGTCTATAAAATTGAGATGATATTGAAGACCATGGCTTACTTAAAGTAAGTACACAACTCCTAATAATAATGATTTATTTTCCTAATAATAATTATATTTTATCCAGAAAATTTCTATAATAGTTCAACACAAGAACTGATCTTTCTACTTTTCACTCAATCCTACAAGCTGACGTTATTCTTCCTTCCTCTTCCTCTTGTTATCTGTTCGTATCACCCCTCTTGCAAATTTCCTTCTACAAGATATTCAGTATCATCTTCACCTACTAATTACCAACATCATCTACAATCTGCACTCCATACACAAAGATCAACGAAAAACTTTTTCAGCAGCCAATCACATATATCTGGAGCACAACAACCTTTGTGTGTTGATCATAACCGTGCACCAACGGAGAGCTTCTTCTGTCCTGCAGGGTATATCCTCTAGACATCAGGAAAACAACATCATTCTCCATGTAGATAACTCTGTACGCCAAAATAAAGCTCTTCAACATTTTTATTTACAAGGAGATATAGAAGGAGCAGACGCTTATGAAATGTAAATTTTCAATAAACAGTATTATTTTAATCAATTTTATATAACGCTATGAAAATATTGAAATAAATAGGCTTGTTCATGAATTGAACGTACTTTATAGATGCAATTCGTGAAATTGATATATGGTTTTTAAATTGTTGGGAACGAGAAAAACAGTTGTAGTCGGGGTTAAAAGAAAAAACGCGTTACGAGCATTCACAGGCAATTAGATGCGAATGTAAATTAAGCAAGGACGTTTGATATAATGTAGCGAAAAGCTCTCAGTGTCGGACGATGATGATTGGTCCACATTTTAAATTAGCATGGGAAAAACTGGACAACTGGACGGTTTGTTTCCAAAACTAATTGCACTTTTTTAATTGATGTGCGTACATGGCAGCATCAAATGAATAACAAAAAATTTAAATAAAATGAATGAATGCGTTACGAACGAACGATACACGTGGATTCGAATGGAGGAGGGTGTCATCAAGTATTCAGCATCAATAATTTATTACACGCAATGCAAGCTTGTAGCGCGCCATGATGTAACCCGTTTCCTATTTACGTTACTGCTCCAGCAATTATTAGGTAATTAGATCCGCGCCGAATTGTGTTCGTTTCAGACACAAAGCGAAACCGAATCAATTCTTGCTCTTCCTGCCCTCACCAATTTCCTCCTCCTCCCTTCTCCTTCATGCTAATTCTCAAGCGCAGATCCGAGAGACGTGTCTCTTCCACTTTCTGTGCGTAATAAAAGTGTAATAGATATGCAGCATCCATTAATTTATTTACAGATAACAAGCAGTCTACTTGGAATATTGGTCAAAGGGGTCACTAATGATGTCCACGCCATATCCATCCATGCACAAGCGGCACTAGATTATGATGATGATGAACATGTCATTAACCTTACGCATCATGAAATTGTTTTTGCTACCTTACATCTTCATCCTATCCATTCGGAAAATGCCGAATTTTCCGAATCGCAAAATGTGTTATTCCATATTGTCTGGATAGATACAGAAAACTGGTATATACCGGTATGCATTCGAGCTAGAACGACAAATTATCAATTCATTCGATTAATCATCGCACGAACAAACCAATTGACTTGTAAATCTAATATTTCCAAACCCAAACATTGATTAATTCAATTAAAATTTCGTTTTGCAAATTCAAACTAATAATTTAAAAACAAACTGTAATCATGACACAACAAAAATTGATTTTCATTATTTTGTAACATAAAAGTCCTTTATTTTAATATTTAGTATAAATTATTTTATTATTGATATTTCACTATAGCATTTTGATTCTTCCTTATAACACAAAACACACTCACTGACCTTGATGTATATTTTTATGGCAAAAAAAACCTTGCACTTTAATCTTTAATTTCAATATGCATAATCAATATTAGCTTAAAATACTCACAGATATTGATTTTTTATAGTTTAGCATAATTTAATTAATTATTACGCTTGACCTGACGTATATTTCTTATAAAATTTAATTAAAAAATGGAATTTTATTAATGTGCTTTGATAAACTATAGTTTGAATATGTTTTATAATATATTATCGCAGCTAATTGAAATTCATAAAATTTCGTAGAAAATTACTAAATTTGCTAAGAAAGTGATTTTCCAATATGAATTGACTAGATTATGCAACAAAACTGCATAAACGAAATGTTAGTTGCCTAAGTTGCTTCTGTCAGAATAGTTTAACCAATCATTTTTTTCTGTTCAATTTTTTTAGTATGATATTATTTTTGAATCAAGGCATGATTAATAACATCAATCATATTGAACATTGCAGAAGGTAAAATGCCGTTAAGGGGAAATAATCCTGTTTGCCTTAAGTGTGAAACGGAGGAGTCCCCGTTGTGGACGAACGCGGAAAACCTAGGAGCAATTTGCCTGCAATGTATTAACGAGGCCAAGGAAGAGACCAAGTCTGATGATGAGGGTGAGAGCAGGCCTGCGAAGAGGAAGACCAGAGCAACGAGATCGTACAAAACAAGACTGAACCCATTGGCGTTACCCAAGACTGTGCTGCCGAAGGGTAAAGGCCGGAGAGTAATCTTCAAGAAGACACCCACAAAAGCACCTACAGCTGTCGCTACACCAGTTACTAGTGACAGCATTTATTATAAAGTGAGATAATTGGATGTTACTTTAAATCTGATTTTACTTATGTTGCATTCATTTTTTTTTTTTCAGGGAATGTACTATCAGAAGGGTGATGTTGTGAGCATGATTGATGAGGATGGGGATCATTATTATGCTCAAATTAGAGGATTCTTGACTGATCAGTATTGCGAGAAGAGTGCTGTAGTTACTTGGCTGTTGCCTACACAGGAGAGTCCACCACCAGCTGAATGCTTTGATCCTGCTACTTATATTATTGGTAAATTGTTAATTTTGTATCTGCAATTGAAATGCATTGGATATATCTTTTAGGACCTGAGGAAGAAGTGCCTAGAAAACTGGAGTGCATGGAGTTTATAATGCACGCTCCTTCCGATTACTACAAAACGAAGAACTCGCCTTACCCAATGGTATATCCAACGCCAGAACCCGGTTTCATATGGACACGTTTGGAACCCATACAGAGACTCATTACCGATACTACGGACACATCTGAAAAAGAATAAACAAAGGCTGCTTAACTTGTATCCATCTTTACTTGCTGTTACATAAAGTCCACATTTTTATCAATAATAAAAAACAATATTTATTGCATATATTCTCCTACATACATATGATAGGGCTATTGAATTCAGGCTTTCTGTCCTACATTTTTAAATCTTCATTAATACTATATAAACTTCATTCAAAGAAATTGCTTTAAGTCTATATTAATCGTTTATATTCAACAAATTAATGTAATACACTATTATTAAAAAAGCACAAACTAATAATAATTGTAATAGTCACATATAAACATATTTATTTAATCATATAAAGAAAAAAATAATTAACATTTTTAATAAAACAGTAAAACGCGGATTAACCGTGGTCGCAGCCGTCTTTATGTTTACTTATTTGATAAGCTAAACAGTAAAATAGTACCTGCAAATCTATATTTTTTTACAAAGAAAACAATGAAAAAATACAGATTAACTTTTAAAATAATTAGAAATTAGTTTTTGTGTAATGCAAAAAACGCCACGTCCCCGAATAATCACGGATAATCGACGTTTTGCTGTACTTCCAATGTATATTAGAAATACTATAGTTTATCAACCAATTCAAATACTATTGAGTTTCCTTTATATAAGTAGAAATACTGCCAAGTGGATTATAAATTGAAGTTAATTGTAATCCTGTATTCCATAGATGGCGCACATGGAAATATTGATATAATCGTTCAAAGCAGCGTCTCATTTGAAAGTCTTCACTTTTTATACCTGAGCTATTTGTCATTGCAACAAATATAAATATTTTACTTAGGGATTTAATTATCAACCATATAACATCCTTGCTTTGTGTTCATATTTATAAGTCATCTTGTGGATAAATTGTGAAATACATCAATACCCAAGTGGAGGGAGTGGAGGTTTATAAAAGAAGAAGAAGACATCAATACCCCTCACAGTGCGGGAAATAGTTTCCGCCAATACTGTTTGAAAGCGGAATAATCGATAAACTGAATACATACAAAATATATATACCGCACAAGAAGACACTTAATTGTATCAATGAAAATAACTATCATTTATGTACACAAAATAAATTAGTTCATTTTCAAATCGAACTGTTCTATTCGGGTATTGCTGTTCATTTAAAATTTACTCAAAAACTGCTTTATGACAATCGAAGAGGTGACAAAACAATCAATATCCATTCTATTTTTCTTAGTATTCGAGTAATTAAGTAAAATGTAAAGACATTCCATTTGAGCCTTAACAGAATTGGTCAGTTTATTTCAGTAAAACCACTATTACCAGACCAATATTTGAATATTTAATTAATTCTTTGTAGTTTTATCTTTAATGTCCATATTTAATATGAAGTTTATCTTTCAAGTAATTAAGTAAAACGCAAAGACATTTTTTTTATTGCATTTTTTTTCAAAAGTCTAGTGAAGCTTCGACATTAGAATTCCTCAAAATCGCATTAATAAATCAATATTGTCCCGGAATTTATCCACATCATATAATTACATGCATTCAATAAAACGCATTGTACGGTAATTGAATGTACATGCGAGCCACTTTGGAACACGAAATGACAAAAGGACAGTCCAATAATGTTCTAATTAAATTTTAAATTGAAATGCGCTCGCATTCAACCATTTTTAACATAATATATTGTAACTTCAAAATACAATTAGCTGCGAAGAGCGAGCGCGCATTTTGTGCTCACCCCAAAATATTCGCCCATTCCAGTAATCCATACAGTCCGGATTTATTGTAAAATTGAATTGTTAATATCTGCATGTATTTCATAGATTTTTTATAGTGTCGTCGCAAAATATTGTGTTTTTTTATTTTGTATTAGAATTGTTAAAATTATCTCGAAGATATTGTATCCATAAAGAAATCGTTCTTTTATTACTTAACTACAGAGAACATCCATTGGACGAGGATCATGACCATTTTTATGTCTAATAATTTGATGTGTTTACAGATCCGTTTACGGATCGAGATTTTGAAACAGAAACACATTCCATTACGCAACCATCGTAAATATCTTCGGCTGAAAAAACATAAGCAACAAATGAAAATTGTTTTCGTTAGTTGGGAAATTGAATTTCACGTGAATCTTATATAAATTTATTGAAGAAGCTAAGTGATTGCTTTCGTTTTTTGGTGCTCTTGTAGGTAATTAATTTATAATGAAGGGCTATAAATGGGAATTTGGGTCAAAGACCTTCCGTTGAATGTGAAAAGTAGAAAATCGGGAAATCGTTAAGTGTGTCTTTTTGGTATAGCGGGGATAACGAAAGACGTTGCAAATTCCACTAATTGCAAACCCATATTATGTTATTCCTGTTCCAGCGCGAAATTCTGCATTCCGCTTTCCAAATAACTCCGCATCTTCATAATAAGGTCATGCTCAACACTCCTAGAGATTACTATTTTAATTATTCTCGCGAGTAAATTTCTCTCTAATTATTGATAATTAAAGAAGAAATGACAAAGCACAATTGTGGTTGTAGGCTTTAATGAGTTTCGTTTCATTTGCATGTACTTATCTTAACTTATAGTTTACTACATTTATTTATATGTTTAACAATTTCTACGGGAAACAATCTATTATCATCATAGATAACTGGAAAAATAATCAAATTTCTAGATAATTTTATAATAATCTGTTTTTGTTTCTGACAATTACGAATGTATATGTTGTATGAGTAGATAAAGCGAACGAGATAATCATGTAGGTCAATTATAAGTGAAACAATGTCAAAAGACCGATTACTCATGCACTTGCCGCATCTTTTCTGTTTTCTGTATGCATTCAATGCGTAGAATGATTTATGCTTCGATCGGGTTCGATGCAATTGCCGAATTAACGTAATCAGTAGTTGTGGCGTTACGCATTGCGGGCCTATGCAATGCGTCTAATCGTTTTGGTTTTGTTGCATTTATCCGTACCGATTTTATTAATAATTGCCAAACGCAATTGTTTGCATTTTAATTAGAAATATGGCCAAGACAAAAGACTACGTCTGAGGTAGAAAATGGGAAGATGAAGAGAAGGAAAGGAACTGTTTCAAACTACATAAAATGATGAGATTTTAAAAGAATAATGGCAAATATTTTAATGAGGTTGGACAACTGAAACCTTATTTGAATAAGAAATAAAAAATAAGAAAAATGTGATTTGTATAAGTTCATCGAAACTGATGATATCAACGTTTTTTTATTAAGAAAGTTATCAAAGAGTCTTGAAAATTTGTCAATACTGTCTTTGATTCAAAGAATTTTGTATCTATTCTAAAACATGAAAAGGGTACTACAATGATACAAGGATGTATGTTATCTAAAGAAGTTAGTGAGAAAAATGAACCGACTCTAATGTAAGAAAATTAGTGATTTTATGGGTTGGGTTTTATTTTTCAATACGATAATAAGAAAATGATTTAAAGCATATTTCAGCTAATTATTTGGCAAGTGATATTTACGGTATGCATTTAGATAACTAATAGTATTATGTATGATTTGACGTACAAGTACTTAAATAATAGATTTGTAAGGAAACGTAGTGATTTTCGTTCCCATTTTCGAATAGTTTAGATTTGGATAAAACAAGCATTTTTAAGATTTTATCAGTTAACAAAAAATATTTACTGATGAGCCACCGACGGGCCGACCCAATCATTAGAACCAATAGAATTATTAATAACGAAGAGAACCAATCCCTCCTTAAGCGTTTAACGATGCAACTAATGATTTATATGTAAATTTAAAACGTCGAAAATTTTATAAAAAAAATGCTCCCATGTCAAATGCAATTTTTGTATCTTTTGGATAATGTCTAAATTTGCAAATTTTGTATTTTCCACGTACTCTATATGTACTGCAATATTTCAATTGGACTCTGTTTTCTTTAGAAGTTTCTAAGGAATGTTTTTGATTGGGGTGGCATGTGTTTGTTGTTGTTTTTGATGTGAAGAGGCGATTATTTATTCTTGCATTTTGGTTTTCCTTTTCTCGTTTCTGGGTTTAGATTTAAATTGGTGGAGTCGGATGGTAAAGGAGGTGGTGTTGGTGATGTCGGAGGGGTGCGGGTGCGGAAGATGCGCGCGAGTCTGCGGTGTTTTTTGCGCGCAGGGGCGGAAAGGAGCGCGCACACGCCGCCGCCGCCTCCGAAACGTACGCCTCCACTTCTACCGTCGTCCACCACCTCCACTTCTACCATCGTCCTCCGCCTGGTTCGATATCGAACGGGCCGTGGCCGAGTCCTTTCATCCTTCGTGAGAGCACAGTCCGCGCCCGGCCTCGCTGCGGCAATGACCGACCGTACGACGACGTCTCCTCCAACGTCGCCACTATGACCCGCCGCGTCGCGCTCCTTTGCGCGCTGCTCGCCCTCCTGCTGGGCTGTGCGGCCCACCAGTTTGACGACTATGACTACCACAACATCAGCAATATCACGACGCACATGCCTAACCAAAGCTTCCCCGTGGAGAAGGCCCCTCTGTTTCCCACGGACCTCTTCACCATGGAGCAGAGACGACAGGGTGCCGTCATGCTCCACGTCCTCGGGGTGATCTATATGTTCGTCGCGCTTGCGATCGTTTGCGACGAGTTCTTCGTGCCCTCTCTGGACGTCATCATCGAGAAGCTGGACATCCAGGACGATGTTGCAGGCGCCACTTTCATGGCCGCCGGCGGCTCTGCGCCGGAACTCTTCACTAGCGTCATCGGCGTCTTTGTCTCCTTTGACGACGTCGGTATCGGCACCATCGTCGGCTCGGCCGTCTTCAACATCCTCTTTGTGATCGGCATGTGCGCGCTCTTCTCCAAAACTGTACTCACCCTCACATGGTGGCCCCTATTCAGAGACTGTTTCTTCTACTCGGCCAGTCTCATCACCCTTATCTACTTCTTCAGAGACAACCACATTTATTGGTATGAGGCTCTCATACTCTTCATGTTCTATATATCATACGTCAGCTTCATGAAATTTAACCAACCCATGGAGCGATGGGTCAAAAAGATCCTCTACAAGAACAGAGTCACCCGAGTGCGCAGCACCGATCAACTTATGCCCACGGTATGTATACAAAAACCTAATCTATCTTTATCTCTATTTCTTACACACTTTACATCATCCATACATCTAGCTAAAAACTTAAATTACATAGTCGACACATTCATCAATAATTCAGTGCATCTGCATCATCATGATGCACTTCCATCCGCAACCTAAACATGATATTACACTATATTATTAATATTACACAATCAGCTTGACTTGGCTGTGGCGACAACCACTTGACCCCATGACCAATGGACCTCCACAGCATGCATTGATCTCCCGCGCGCCTCGTGACCCCCTTTGAATCATCATGAAGAAAATTGAATAAATACCACGAAATAGCATTACCATCGGCCCCACCCCCCTCCCACGCAATTACCCATCGCCCATAGCAGGCGGTGCGGGGCGCGAGAAGGCGCCTATTTTTTCCCTCGCCTCCCATGACCCACGGCCGACCGATCAATATTTTCCTCAACTTCGCTTCCAAATTCACACAAATTCTACGACACCTTCACGAATTAAACTCTTCCGCGCATCCAGAATCTTCATCCCCACTAGACCACATCAATTACAATTAAAACAAGAATATTTTAATAATAATTTTTCAAATTTTTCGAATATTTTAATACTATTCGTTTTTAATACCTTAGTTGTAAAGCTCTATTAAATGCAGGGGCGTATCTTCAATCTTTTTCACGATTTATTCCCTCAGCTCTCTCATTATTATTACTCAAGTTCATATTATCTCCACATAAAAATATCTTAATTTTATTTTGTTATATATATATATATATA